CCACAGTCCCAAACCTTTAAAAAATGTGCAGCAGAGGTCCAAACGGACGGTTTCCGTCCGTTTGACCGTTAGTCAACCAGGAATAGTAAGCCTTGACCAATTTTGACAAAATTAACAGGGGTAAAATGGTAACTTGATATTTAAAACATTAAAAAATAAACAAAAACCGTCATCTCTCTCCTAGCCCCAGCCCTACCCCAGCCCCATGCTTCTTCTTCAACCTTCAGCCACACAGCAACCACTACCCACGACCACCTCAATAACGCCGGCAACAGAAAGTAGCAACAAAAATTAGGTAATTCGATGGTGCCGACAGTGTGCTTTACCGAATCAGTTTCTTTCACTTCAAACCAAAATCCAAGTTTCCATCTCTTTCAAACCACCTAGATTTATCAGTTTCTTTCACTTCTCATAGGATTCACAAATCCAGCCCTCAATAAGCTGAAGCCCTCTCCTTCTTCCCTAGTCACTGTCGCTGGGCAAAAGCGGGGAAAGTCATCGAGCAAATCGGGGAAAACATAGACGAATTTCTATAAGCTGACGCCCTCTCCATCTTCCCCAGTCACTGTCGTTGTGCAAAATTGGGGAAAGTCGTCGAGCAAAATCGGGGAATACATAGACGAATTCCCCAAAAAATACTTTGACAGAAATCCTGCCGCCCTACCGCCACTGTGGCCACCGTAATGCCACCACCATTGACCCAAATCTGTCCACCATGGCCCCTCCCTCAATAAAGGCCACTCACCCATTCTCCAACTCGTTCCCCTTCGAAGACACCAGTACCAACAACAATTTACATTTCCCTCATTTTCAAAGGGGTGTTTGACATTTGAAACTCAAAACTCGTTCCCCTCGCTAGCATGCGTCTGTGAAGAAAGCAACACGGTAAGTGTATTATTAAATTCAGCAACTGGTTGTTGACCCATGCCCTTTCCATCATCAATTGTAGTTCTGAACCTCGAATTGAATATATGGAGTGGCATTGATTCAGCAAACGCATTTGTCCGAAATTTATCACAAAGATCTCGAAGCTCACCCATGAATTCGTGAAGACCCGTTTGCAATTGGGGTTGACCCATGCTTTGGGAAGATGGACCAGTGGGAGAGGAGTCCAATTCCAGTGGTGCGCGACCATGGCCGTCGCCGGAGAAGGAGTTTTCGGCATGTGTAGAATCCGTTAGTTTCGTTGTTTGAGCGGAATTTTTTGCAGATTCTGATACCGTTAGAGTTGATTGTTGGTTGGGAGTTATAGATTGCATAAAGGTGGAGCTATTGGTGGTGTTATCCGGAGGCCGTGGTGGCCGGAAAGTAGAAGAGACAGGCTGCATGTGTGGTGGCGAAAATTCTCCCTTGAAGAAGAAGGGTGGGGCTGGGTAGGACGGTTTTTGTTTTTTATTTTGTTTATTTTTTGATGTTTTAAATGTCAAGTTACCATTTTACCCCTGTTAATTTTGTCAAAATTGGTCAAGGCTTACTATTCCTGGTTGACTAACGGCCAAACTGTCCGTTTGGACCTCTGCTGCATATTTTTTAAAGGTTTTGGGGTTAGGGTAAAATGCGCAAAAATATGAAAGGTTTGGGACCGCAGCTGCAATTATCCCTTTTTTAAAAAATCATAAAATATTATCACTGTATTTAAAATTATTTTATATTACATTGCTATAATATCTAGAGTGTGTTTGATAGATATTATTGAAGAAATAATGTATTTTAAATAATGAAATGATGAAAAATGTGTGGTTAAAAAGTAAGGGAAAAGTTATTGATATGATGAAAAATATTATTTTATTGAAAAATGTGTAGTTGAAAATAAGTTTTAAAACAAAATATTTTGAAAGAATGTATACCAAACAGGAGCTTATACCAAATTTACCGAAATGTATACTTTTCATATTTTCCATTCGTAGCATAAATTCAAAACTGGAAACAACTCTACAAACATAGTTGGAATCCTCCTACGTGTTATCAGTCTTCATCTACCGATTGATCAAAATCAACAATATCATGTATAAAATAATCTCCTCTGTCAATATTGAAATTGCAAAATTCGTAAATAAGAAAAAACTACTCTACAAACATAGTTGTCAGCGAAGAATCATTTCGAGCTGTTTTTTTCCATTGTTTGAGGTCGTATTTGAACGGCAAATTAGGTTCG